AAATTTGGAGGTTGGTTTTCTAGTTATAGTCGATTAAATTCATGGTTGGCTTTTGGTAATAAGTTGTATCGTTATTTTAAACTGATGGTTTTAATTTACCAATTTTGCCTTTAGCTTGTGTAAAACTGAGGTTAGACTACTTTAATAAATGACTGACTTCTTTCTCTTTTATCTAGTCAGGGCAAATGGCAGAACAGTGAGTACCTCTGTCTTTGTTAACCAGTTTACAATATCCCAACTTTATAAAGAAATCATTTTAAGTTGGGAAGTTTCAGCACTTCTTCATACTGTTAATGCTTTTTTTTATAATTCTACAGACGATCATCACCAAGGTAAAATACTTCACGTCTTACCACACATCACACCACATTTTTGTGGCTGGAGAGATAAGAGAGAATAAACAGAACAAACAATGACGACTTGTTGATAACCGACACAAACACACCTCCACAAAGTTAAACCTGTGTCCTTGTATTATCCATTATCAGTCTAAATTAAAAATCTAATTAACTGGGAGGGCTTTGTTCTCTAGATGCTTATTATCCCACCAGTGGTGAGGACAGCTAGCTTTGTGCACCTTTACTATCCACCAACCCTCTTTGTTCTCCTTTCCTTTAATCCTAAAAAAAAAAAGGAATAGGAAGACACGCTTTTTGAAAGGACATTTTCAGTGTCCAATGTTTTGTTCTCTTTGTTCTACTAGATGTTTAATATCCCAAACAGTGGTAAAGTCAAAAAAACATTCTTTGTAGCATCAGCTTTATTCTTGGGCTCATTTCATGCTTATGCATATACTTCCCAGAGCCCTCAGACAAACTTGAGCTGGTCTTCATGGTGTATTGTTTTATCATTTCATTGTTCTTAGCTTTTGTTTGTTTGTTTTCTGCCAGGTGTTTAATGATCCCATCCATGGTAGCATAGAGTTACACCCACTCCTCATCAAGATCATTGACACACCTCAGTTCCAGAGACTTCGATTCATAAAGCAGCTTGGAGGTGTCTACTTTGTTTACCCTGGAGCGTCTCACAACCGCTTTGAACACTCGATCGGGTAAGTCAGCAAGTTTTCAGATTTCAGCCCACAGGTGACCTCAGTCCAAATAAGGAGAAGACTCATGGTTTTCACATAAGCACCTTGTAAAACCAATAAAGGCAGAAAACAGTGCCTGTCTTAGTATGGATCTAATAAAAAATATGAATAAAAATATATATAATAATTGTGATAACTGCGTTATAATTTAAAAAAATGTTTTCTGTGGTCTAAAAAGGGTGGGATACTTAGCAGGAAAACTTGCTGAGGCTCTCAGGTCAAGGCAGCCGGAACTCAAAATCGATGACAGAGACGTCCTTTGTGTTCAGATTGCTGGCCTCTGTCATGACCTGGGTGAGTAATGCATCCCTTTTCAATATTACATGACTGGTGTATTAATTGTAATTATTTGGAATGTTAAGAGTAAAATGAAAGTGAAATGATCCAGAAATAACCCTTCCATCTTACAAAAAAGCAAGGGCTTCTGCATTAATAAATAAAAATACGAGGGTGGGGTGAGGTAGTGTGGTAGCTCAGTCTGTAGGGACTCTGATAAGAACTGGAGGGTCTGAATCTTAAAAAATACTTACACATAACAACCTTTTTTTGTAAGCAATACTCTCAAGTTTAGATTCAGGAGTAATCCATCCTCAACTCAAACAGATTTATTAAGACATACTGACTGTATAATCTGTACACTATCAGTGGATTACGCCTGTCTTTATCTATCCATTTCAAGGTCATGGACCCTTTTCCCATCTGTATGATGGAATGTTCCTCCCTAAAGCACTGGAAAAAAAGAAAGAAGAAATGAGAAAAAATGGGAAATTCAGAGAAATGGAGAAATTGGAGAAATGGAAGATCAGAAGTTAATATTTTTTGTAATGTGAAAAATTAAATACAGAGCAACTGCAAAACTGAAGCACATATACAATTTTACTGGCTTAGTTCTTTTTTTTTTTTTTTAAGGTTTATTTTTGGGCTTTTGATTGAGAGATGGGATAGTGGACAGAGTTGGAATTCAGGGATAGAGAGTGGGGAATGACATGTGGGAAAGGAGCCACAGGTGGGATTCAATCCTGGACCACCCGCTTGGAGGACAACAGCCTCCATACATGGAGCGCGCACACTAACCATTGCGCCACCAGCGCCCCTGGCTTTGTTCTTTTGAAACAAAATCCAGGATGTTCTTTTTTGTTTGCTTTCTCAGGTGTAATGGGATTATGCACATTTCCAAGAATGTTTAACTATTTCTGCAATAACAATGAACTTTGTAGCTTGTGTTGCTAAATGACCCATACCCTGTTCTCTTTGGTAATAATATGTCAACTTTTCATCCGACATGTTGCCGCTTTTCAGAAGCTTTATGAGATTTGATTTCATGTTTTTTTTATGAACATTAATCCTGGTGATTCAGAGATTTAGATACACCAAACAAAAATCCTAATTGAATTCATGGTTAATGAGAGGTAATTCTTTACGGAAGGGACCTCTTTTAAAAGCAGAAGGGATTTCTAGATCTGTTTATGTCTCTTTGTCACTCAATATCCCAAAAAATGTTAATCAGAAGTCAGATAAGATACTGTATGAATATAAGATAAGAGAAGATAACCTTTATTCATCCCACAATAAGCAGCAAAAGAGCAAGAATAGCCAAAAAAGAGCACACAGTGCACCATTCAATAATCAAAAAAGTGCGATTGCTGTGTTCACATCCAACAAACCGGGCTAAAGGGGAAACGCCCTTTGTTTCAGAACAACTTTTCCAAACAATCCAGGTGTGAAAAAACCCTTATATTATATATATATCTATATATATATATATATATATATATATATATATATATATATATATAATATATATCCTTACCAAGAAATGTATTCACAATGTGTTCATAAAGGTGTCTTATAACACATATAAAAATATTTAAATCCAACTCCAGTAGGAAAATCCTTGAGAGCTACTCAAAGTTGGGGTACATGTACCTGGAACCTTATTGGTTAAAATTTGAAAATTTGGATATACAACATTAAATAAACAGACGCTCAGGTGAAGTATGTGTGTATTTTCATTCGTAGGGAGCAACAGACACCTGCATTGTTTCACTTGTGTGAAACTTACATTTAAAGAGTTTTTAACCATCTCTTTCATTTCAGCAAAAATCTTACTTTGCCACTATAATTGCTTTTAAAATTCAAATACATTTGTATGTTTTTTTCACAATAATGGGTAAAATATGCAATTTTATATCGTTCAACTTTTTATTTGGTAATGGAAGGCATCTCGCAAACCACTCTTAGTGTCTCATGAGCCACCAGGGGTCCCAATCACTACTTTAAGAACAGTATAGAGTCTGGAGAAGACTTCGACCTGGACCCCTCAGACATTTGAAAATTGGTGCAGTATTTTTTTAAACTAGTATTCGAGATATTGAAATCTACGGAAGAGGATTAGGGCCACTGAAAAAAAGAATGTTGGTTCTGGTTTTTTGGGGGGAATTCTGACCTTTTTCTCAGAATTCTGAGTTTAAAGTCAGAATTAAAAAAAAAAAAAATCAGAACCAATTTTATTTTTTCAGTGGCCCTAATCTTCTTCCGTAGAGATCAACATATTTAGCTACTTTAAATGTACAATAAAAGTGGGTGTGGCCATGTTTCCACCAAGGATATGTTATAAGACACCTTTATGAACACACTTGTGAAGAAATTTCTTGGTGAGGAATTTATTCCCATGTTTTTGCAATATTCCCTTACTATTAGAGAGAAAACTGAGCTGCAGTATCACCTTCTCAGGCAAAAAACTTTTGTGCTTAACAGTTTGACTCTGGGTTGGGTTCAGCTAGCAAAATAACCCAGATAAAGACTGTTAGGATATTGTATACAGTATATGTCCACAGAAAATTGGCTGACATTAAGTGGCTCGTCAAATTCTGAGGAACTTTAGGAACTCTGACATTTAACTTTTTTTTTTAATATACACAAGTTTTGAAATATACTCTTCAAATGTGGGGGAAATTAAAGTATGTGGGATTATTATATTTATATTTTAAATCTTGTGTTGACACATTTATGAGTCTGTGTGTCTTGCAGCATGAAAAGGGCTCTTGTGACATGCTTGACCACATGCTGAAACAGAAGTATCTTAAACCAGCGATCCCTGAAGAAGACATGGAAGTAGACAGAAGACTACAGGAATCTAAAGAGCAGGAGGCAAGTTCACCTCATTATGTTTTCCAGAAGTCGGATAAGATACTGTATGAATATAAAATAAGAGAAGACAATGCATCTCATGCTTAGTATTATATCTGGGTTAAGTTCAGCTAGTTTAATAATCCTGATAAAGCCTGTTAGGATGTTGTATACAGTATATGTCAACAGAAAATTGGCTGACTTTAAGTCACTCGTCAAATTCTGAGGAACTTTAGGAACTCTGACTTTTAAAGTGTTTCTTACATACACACGTTTTGAGATCTACTCTGCAAATGTTGGTTGTGCTATTTGTGTAGTTCCCTGTCTTCTTGCAATATTTACACACAGTTTTTGTCTTGTCTGTTATCTTCTCACATCTTTCATTTTCTGTCTTGGGGAAGCTAAAATGCTTCCACACCTCTGATTTAAAAGAGGGTGTGCGTCCTCAATTTGAAAATCTTGCTCTACAGCTGCTGACGCTCACGATATTATTGCGATTCATTTTTCAGAGTACCGATGTGAATCTTGACACCTTTGAATCAATTTATCAAGATTTCACAATTAATCTCTCTATCCCTAACTGTAAATATTACAGGAACAGAGGACGCTTGAAAAAGAGATGAAGAAGAAATACAAACTGAACCCTGAAGATGTGAAAAACATTCAGGAGATGATTGCTGTAGAAAAGGCAAGTTCGGAAAAAGAATACACATTCTGTACGGACATTACTAAATGGAAATGTTGTTAATATGTAAAAGCAATAAAGAAAGTTAAAAAAAAGAAAGAAAAGGCAAGTTCACACCATCTGTGCATAAATAGGTCTGTGTCCTCAACAGCAATGTCACTAATGTCACTATTTTGTAACATCTCCTCAGTATAAAGGCGGACAAGAAGAGTCCTTTTTTTTTAATCGTTAAAAAAAAAGTTTTTCATCTGCCTAGAACTCCATTTGAAATTGAACCTGCTGTTTATTTTGTCATGCTTTTGCTTGTACACAGTTTATTGTGTTCATATTTTAGCTTTATCTCTGTTTTGTGGAATGGTCCTACATATTTTTTCTATGCAGTGTAAATTCATTGACAACAACATACGTGTCAATAAAACTGGTCCTGATTCGCTTTGTGTCGTCATCCCTGCAGTGGCCGTACAAAGGGCGCCCAAAAGAAAATTCCTCTATGAAATTGTGTCCACAAAAAAAACGGCGTTGATGTGGACAAGTTTGACTACTTGGCCAGGTCAGGTTTTAATGAAGTGCTGTAGAGCAATTCATTTTGTGATGAAGACCACTAAGCACTTCTTTTTTTTTTACCTTGAACAATGCATTATTCTCCTGATTATTTTAAATTATAGGCTACAAAACTCTCCAGTAAATTCAGTTTCACTTTATACACCTATTTTCTTCACCTTGCCTCAATCTGCCTCTACTCAGGGACTCTTCCTACCTGGGGATCAAGAACAACTTTGACTTTCGTCGCTTCCTGCAGTTTGCCAGAGTGTGTGAGGTTGATGGCAGGAAAACTATCTGCACCAGAGACAAGGTGCTGACACACTTGAGCTTGTAAACAGATAATTGAAAGCAAACTGATAATGTTGTTATTTATGACTAAACTGCAGTCCTAACCTCAACAGGAGGAAGACCATATGTACCACTTGTTCTATACAAGACACTGTCTCCACAAAAGAGCCTGTCAGCATAGAGTAAGCCACATCATACAAGAAATGTAAGTGTCTACCTTCAGAAGTTATTACTCCAAATATAAGATTGGTCTCCTTCTGATTTCCATTATTCAATCTGCATCATGATTCACTATCTCATCAGTAATAATATATTTGATATGAACATACAGGATTGCTGAGGCTTTTTTGAAAGCAGACGGTCACATTCAGATTGAAGGATCAGGAGGATGTTCACTCTCTCTACAGCCAATGAGGACATGGAGGCCTACACAAAGCTCACAGGTGTGTAGATTTAAATGTGTGCTGTTAGCTCATGTTCAACATTGAAGCCAATTCAGACTACAGGAGTATCAAACATGGCTCTGTTGCTAGGTCATTTACAGTTATGCTACTTTATCCATTTTTTTTATCGTGCATTTGTTAAAGATAAATAAACCACATCCTGTTAATTTACTTGTGATGACTTATAAATTAACATGCCATGTTTTACAATTTATTGAGTGTGTTTAAATTAAATTGTGTTATTATCATTTGTTTGCTTGTTACTCTGTTACTCTTTTAGACAACGTGTTTGAGGAAATACTGAAGTCTTCCTGCTCAGAGCTAAAAAAGGCAAGAGAGATTCTGCAAAACATCATCTCTCGAAAGAGCTACAAGTTTGTTGATGAGAGAAAGCCAAAGGACCCCATCGAGGATTGGAAAGTAAGTCTGTGTTCTTGTGTTTCATTACATTTATACACATGATCTAATGCACTGTTATCACAAAGCTGGATAATGTGCTCATTTTCAGTTAATAGAATAAGTACACATCACATTATTTACTGTCTCCAGCATTTTATCTTGCCCGTGTTGTTATTACATTTAACATGAACAGCAAACTATTGAACAGTTCTCTTTTTGAAATGGATAGCAGCTTGAAATGTCTTACAATACAAAATCCCTCTGTCAACTAATGCTGCATGATATTGGGGAAACTGCAATAACCTTTGAGGTTCATACAATTATAA